TACCATTCTTCGAGTCTCCTAAAAAAGAAAAAAGATCTCTTCATCTTGTATGACTCCTTCATCTACTTCCACTTGAAATCATGAGAAAGCTTCCTCTAATCCCATTACCAGTCTCATTTGTTCAACTTCTATCGACCCAGGATAGACAAGCCTGACTGAACGAAAGGTTTCATACAAATAAGGGAACACTATTTTTCTATCAATCGAATTTTACCCTTTGAGGCGTGCCATTCTCTTTTCTTCTTCTCTAGCATTACATTCTTTTTATCAACAGTCATAGGCTTATAGCCTAACCCCTATCTTTCTTTATTTTCAATCAGGCATGATGCTCTAACGATTCATTGTAGAGCTCTCCCTAAGCCTTGCCCGACTCGCCAACCCTTGTCAGCGGTCTACTTGATCACCATATTTGTAGCTTTTGATAATTGAGGATTGATATCTTTGACCCTTCTCTTACATAAGTAGCATTTGTTACTTCAAAAGCTCTGAAAGAACATTCAATCACTTCTTCTACTGCCTCAACGTAAAGAGTTGTTAAGGTCTTTGTTACTAATAAATCCTCGTCACCATCCACACTGACTTATTTTCTTTCTATGATGAATTTTACCTTCTAATGTAAAAATAAAGGTACAACTCTGATCGTGTGAATCCAAAGTCTTCTAAGTAGATAACTATATGCAAGAGTTATGTCTATTACTTGAAATATAACGTTGAAGATACAAGGATCGACTTATAATGGGATATCTATATCGTCAATTGCCTCTCTTCGCGTCCCGTCAAATGCTCTTACAACCATATGACTATTTCGCATGTGAGAGAGATCCACTAAAAGCTTTGACAATGTTGTTAGAGGCATAACATTAATAGATGATCCATTGTCAATCAGCACTTTGACCATAGTGTGGGACTTACACTTGACAGTAACATGTAAAGCCTTAACACTACCACGTTCTTTCGGAGGTATTTCATCATCATTAAAGGTGATAAAATTTGACGCTATGATATTTCCAACCATGTGATCTACCTTCTCAACAGAAATGTTATGCTCGACATAAGCTTGGTTCACACTTTCAGCAAAGCATTCCTATGCGACTCAAAATTTAATAGTAACAACAGTAAGAAAATATGAGCTGGCAGTCTATTTAACTGGTCAACCACACTATACTCACTGTGTTTAATGTTCTTTAGAAACTCACAAGCTTCTTTTTCTGATACCAGTTTGTTAACTTGCACTTCCGAACTTACTACCGATTGAGAATCTTGGCTTTCCCTTATGTTTTTTTCTCCTATCTTGCATTTCCCTTTCCTGGCCCTTTCTGACATTTCAAGAGTATAAATTCGACCACTTCGAGTCATTCCTCCTATTTCCGTTATGTTGGCGGTATTCTCCGCTCTTGGATTATTTGAGGTCATATTAAGCCCTCGCATCACTACATCATAATCGTATCGTCATGGGACTGTTTTGTTGGTCTGATAAGGGAATGGACTAGGGACATAAATGGTCATTGGTGTCTTGGAAGAGGAGATGGTTTTCTCAATTAGGAGCTCTGGTTTCTCATCATAGTAGACAGTGAGAGGTTTGGGGATAAAAGACTTGTTAGGATGCTCATCACCAACTGTATTCACACTATTTCCATCATATTCATCATAGAACTCAATGATGGCCTCATCCATCAAGCTCTGCAATGTCTGCTTAAAGACCTTACAACTTTGGATCAAATGTCCAGTTGTTTTCCCATGGTATTTGCAAAAATGGTTAGGGTCTTCATGACTTCCATTGTCATCCAAAAATAATGGTTGAATCATGCCCGTTTCATACAAACAGTCGTACACCAGTTCAAAAGGGGTCCTCACTTCATCTGTGCATCTTTTGATCTTCACATTAAAAATATGAAAAATTATTAAAGATTTTCAATATTCTACAACACTTCTATATTTATATATTAAATTTATCAAACATTATTTTATTCTCTTTAGAATGTTTTTAAAACAATTCTATTCAAATAACACTTTTAATAAAAACTCCAACAAAACAAAAAAATGACATTGATCAATAGATTTTGATGTTCCATTAATGCCACTAAAAACAATTTTTTTGTAAATTTGAAAATGTATTTATGCTGGATTTTTTTTTTTTTTTTGTAATTTAAGAATTGAAATTTATCAAGTTTGAGATTCAAGCTTCAATATCTATCATTTCTTTTTTCATTTTCAAACTATAACCTCTTTTATAAAAAAAAAAGTATATATGTTTTTTTTCAATAAAAAAATAAGTATATATGTTGAATAAGCTAGGTAGTTGGAAATAACTTAAATTGCTCCTTTGTACACTTATAATTATTGGATTTTTTTAAAAGATATAATTATAATAATTATTATAATTATATAATCAATTGAATAACCAGTTATTACGTTATAATCAAATTACAATTACTGAATAATCAATTAATAAATTTTAATAGAACTAAACAACTAAATTCACATACAATAAAACTTAAACTTAAAATCTTATTCCTATGTTGTGAATTGTTTTGCTTTACCTAAGTCTCTATGCTGGGAAATAAACAGCATTCTTAGCATCTACTGGTGGCGTAATGATAGCAAAGGGAAAAGAATCTACTGGTTAAAGTGGAGAAAGATTAGCAGACCAAAAAGTGCAGGGGCTATGGGCTTCATGACATGCATGATTTCAATATGGCTCTACTCTGCAAGCAAGGTTGGGGGCTGCTTCCAACAACAAATTCTCTGGCTTACCGTGTTTTGAAGGGGAAATATTTTTCACATAAGGACCTTTTGAAAGCTGAGCTTGGGCATAATCCCTTCCTCACCTAGCGTAGTATTTGGGACTCTTTGAAGCTTCAAGGGGACTTCGTTAGAGAATGGGCACAAGAAAAAACATAAAAGTATGGATTGATAAGTGGGTGGCAGTACAGGGTGTGTTAAGATGTCTAGAACCTAGGGAAGGGGTGAATGGAAACATGTATGTATGTGAATTGATGCTGAAACAAAGTGTTGGAAAAAATAACTAGTCTACCACATCTTCAATGGGGAGGAAGCGGATACCATATGTGCCATTCCAATTGGGACACAAAATCAGCCGGACATACTCGTATGGCACTACAACAATAATGGGATTTATTCTATAAAGAATGGATATCGACTGCTGCGAGAAGACATGGAAGAAGGAAATGATGAACAATACATGACCGAATAGAAGGGAGCTAAATAGAGAGAATATGGAGACTGCCGATCCTGAGTAAGGTAAAAGTATTTGCGTGAAAAATGTTTTATGCGATTTCATCAATCCAAAAAAAAAAAAATTTGTTTAAAAAGAGGATTATTGAAGAACGGAGTTGCCCAAGGTGTAACGATGAGGAGGAGCCAGTTGTTCATGCCTTACGAGACTGCTCTATAACACAACAAATCTGGTTTCAAACGGGATTCGCATGGGAAGATTCAGAGCAGAACGTAACACAATAGGCATAAGAGATGGAAGGAAAACTTAGTGATGAAAATCTGAAAAAAAATTTTATTGCAGCATAGGCTAAGTGGAGTAACAGGAATGAGAAAGTACATGGTGGCAGCAGGCTGTGGATTATGCGGTCACCTATTGGGAGGACTACAAAGCTGCCCAAATAACAAGTGAGTGGTCCTGCATTATTGGTCCATTAAATATTTAATGGCGTCCAGCAGATTTTATTGGCCGTTTTCGTGTGGAAGCCGCACTCTCAAGTTTTCTCCACTGCTCTCTTTATTCAGCAATCCATCTTCAGAGCTTGCTCTATGTTTAAATTAAAACCATCATGGAAGATGCTTCTGCATGCCCTCCTTACATCTTGGCTGAAATGTAAATCTTTGAACTCTACATAAATTTCTTTTGAAATTGTTTCAGCATATCTGATTGTTATTTTTGGTTTCTTTTTTATATTTAAGGCTGTGACAGATTAAATTTTATTCATTAAAAATCAAAATTCAATAATTATTAATGGGCCACATTTATCGGCAACTCTTTACTATATATAATATCAAATTAATTTTAATATGATTGAATGCTTACCTGTCAAGGATTCATTTCAAGCAGCAGCCTTTCCGCATGTGATGCTATATACAAGTATATATTGATAGAGAAATATATTTCTCTATATTTTTAGTTGAAGCAAAATATTCCCCACTAGTTAGTAATTACTATATCGAGATAATGCTTTTATAATTACATATAGTACTGTTAATTAATATCTCTAATTTTGAATTTAAATTTCAAAGCCAATCACTTCTTTTTTTATTTTGAGAGTACAATCTCATTTGTATAAAAAAAATATCTTTAGTTTCTATTAAATGAGATTTAAATTTAATTATATATCTTTTGTTATGAGGTTGGTTACCATATATGAGGACAGATTCATTTGCATTTTTTAGTTTTACATTTTTTTACATTAATTTTAATACATCTAAAAGGTGAAATTAAATTATTTTTTACTTATTTTTTAATTTTTAAAAATTATTAAAATTAATGATTAAAAAATTTTATAAAATTAAAAAAATGCATATAGTACACAATTAATTCTTCACATTCAAAGAAAATAAAAACTTATAATCTAAGTCAAAACCATATAGTACACAATTAAGGATCTCTATAAGCAGACTGTTAAATAGTGTAAAAAGTTATTGATTAGGCGGCCCTAGGGTTAGCGTTTGGTTTATATTCTTCTAGAATTCAACTACTGTACGATAAAAAGAGGAAGCCTTAGTTCTGGTTTCTATCCAATTCCCCTCCACAGAGAGACCAAAAAAAAAAAAAAGGAGGTTCATATATGATCCACACATACGACAAAATACCCACAATTTGAAATTCTTATTAATAGTAATAAGAGTCATTACAAAATTATTGAAATTAAAAATAAGTATTCTATTAACAGATTGTACTATTGTTGATGAGAATTTTTATTCTCTATAAATACCCTATTCTCATAATGATGAAGCTTGTGTCTTCCATAAGTAAATCTTCTTTTTTACAAATTTTTAGATCTTCTCCACCTTGAATTGTTTCCAAAATGGCTGCCCTTAGAACTTGTGAACAACCATCACTAAGCAATCTAGGAATGTCCATTCACGTGACTAATAAAGTTGAGAAAAATGACCAAATCCAAGGAACTGCCGAGAATGAGTTTGATTACTCTCGAAGGGCACAGTGGGTTCGAGCTGCTGTGCTTGGAGCCAGTGATGGGCTAGTTTCTGTTGCATCATTAATAATGGGTGTTGGAGCTGTTAAGGATGATATAAAAGCCATGCTTCTTACTGGTTTTGCAGGCTTGGTTGCTGGAGCTTGTAGCATGGCAATAGGGGAATTCGTCTCTGTATACACTCAAAGAGACATAGAGGAAACCCAAATGAAAAGGGAGACAAGGATGCGAGAAAGTGGAGACAATGAGGAAGAGACTGATCAGAGAGAGAAGCTGCCTAATCCAGGACAAGCTGCTATAGCATCAGCCTTAGCTTTTTCAGTTGGTGCTGTGGTGCCACTGTTAGCGGCTGCATTCATAAGGCAGCATAAGTTGAGGCTGGCTGTGGTTGCTGTAGTGGCTAGCTTGGCCCTGGCGGCGTTTGGTGGGGCAGGAGCTGTACTTGGGAGGACTCCTCCGGTGAGGTCTAGTGTCAGGGTGCTGATTGGAGGGTCGATGGCTATGGCTATTACTTTTGGCCTGACAAAGTTGATCGGCATTACTGGACTCTGAAGCGCTTGGCTAATGCCGGCTTGAAAGCATTTTCCATCTGCCTAGTATCGAACAAGTGTAGATTACTCCGACAGTGTTAATTGCAATAAGGGTAGCCTTTTGGGGAGAATTCAGTGCAAAATTTATCCTTTGTGCAATGAAGGGTAGATGCCCTGTGTTTTTTTCACTCCGCTCACGTTAAAATATTAATAAAAATGTCTATCATACGAACGTTCATGTGATAAATTTTAAATTAATGTCATAATGTATGATCCATAAATTTATAATTAAATTTAATATTAAAAGTTGTCACCAATCTTTTTTTCTGTCTAGGTACGATTGGCTACTCAATTGAATTTATCCCGTTTAAAAAAAAAAAAGTTCCAAGCTTGATTTAGATATCTTTAAAAGTTAAATTTTAATTTACAAAATCAAATCTAGGTCTAAAAATACGGTTACGTATGAGAAAAATTGGTTACGTATGAGGAAGGTTATAACACATTCACAACGCCAATACAAAAGATGGTACTAGTTTGATTTTGTGTTATCCAAGCCTTACAATGTGTTTATAATTTTTTCAAGTAAATTTAATATTAGAAATTGATCTTAAAGTTACTCCAATCATTTAGTAATAATTTAAGATAATTTTTTCACCTCAGAAATATTCATAGAGGCTTGTGTCTCACTTTGAAGAGACTCCATCATCGGATTCATTAACATGTTTTTTAAGAAATCAATTTTTTTAAATCAATCGATAAAATCCTCCAATCATTTGGTGGAATTTTATATCGATGCATATTCTTCAATTATTTTGTGAGATTTTTATTTGAAAATCTTATTTAAAAATAAAAGTCATTAAATCTTCTAATAATTTAGTAAGATTTAACAAAAATTTGAATCCTCCAATCATTTTGTATGATTGAAAAATTATTTTTTCAAAAATTTATTAAGTGCTCCAATTGTTTTATAAAACTTAATTCGAGATTTTAATCTTTCAATCATTTCGTAGGATTAAGACAATTTATTTTTATTATGAAAATTTTCAATCGTTTGATAAAACTTAATTTAAAATTTTTAAACTTATGAAATCCTTCAATAATTTGGTAGGAATCATGAATTAATTATAAAAATTTATTTTAAATATGCATAAAAGAAAAAAGAGAAATAGCTAAGTAACATAAATAGATATAGAAATAAAGAAGCAAGTAAAAAATAAAAATTACGAAATAAATTGGGCTATAATTGATTTCAAAGTATGTGGGCCTTTGTAATTGTGTCTGTCCATTTCAATTTATTGGTTGTTGGAACCAGTTACGATTTGAGCTTCTTATTAGATTGGATTCTCAAAGTGGATCAATTCCCTTTTACTTTTCTTGCTTTTTCACCCTATTGTCTTTTCTCTTGTTTCTTTACAAAATAGCCTATGGCTTTGCTAGCGCCCATCGCTTGTGGTGATTGCCTTTCTTTTTGGTTTAAATAAAAATCAAACAAAAACTTAAAATATATATACCCGAAACTCTCAAAAATCTTGCTACCAAAATTTTTTGTTGAATGCTTCTTTTTTGTGTTTCTTCTTAATTCCTCCCTTCAATACAAAACTCTTAAGAAAAAATTCTAATTATCTAAACTCAAAACATCAGAAAAGACTATAAAAAAACTCTTAATTTTTTTGCTTTTTTTACTCTTCCTCTGTTGATTTTTTCTGATTGATTTTTAATTGTTTCTAATTTATCATAATGAACTTTTTTTATAGGCCTCTAATCCTAATTACAATAGGAAAATAGGCTTTCTTGGTTTGAATCTCCTAATCAACTTCAATCTTAGATTTTTAATCCAAATTCACCTCTCAAACCAATTGCCTTTTACAGTTATTTTTCAATTAGAACACTTTTAATTAAACAACTCAATTAGAATTAAACCTTCTTCAAGTTTCAGCAAAACAATTCTTTCTTTTTTAAAAAAAATATTAATAATAACTCTAAACTAATTACAATACCAAAAATAAATTAAAAAAATTCAAAGTGTAATCTTAAAATATAAATTGACCTCGAACTAAATAAGGTGTTTACAATCTATAAATACCAATCGAAAATAAAATAGGCCATAAGGATTTGCAATTCTTGTAATAGCAATCTTGAGTTTCGGTTCACAATTTAACATTCGTAATGATTCAAGATTCAAATATTCGCAAGTGATTCAAAGATTCATAAAATATTTTAAGGATTCATATTTGAAAAATTTTAAGAATTCACACCTAAAATTTTAAAAATTATCATTTGAAAATTTTAGAAATTCACATCCAAATTTCAAAGATTCACAATTGAAACTCTTAGGGATTTACATAAAAAACTTCTAGGTTCACATCCAAATATTCAAAAATTTGTATACTTGAAAAATTTTAGAGATTCATACCAATGTTTAAAGATTCGTAATTGAAACTCTCAGAGATTCTCATCAAAGATTCACTTTTAAAAGTTTTTTCTTAATAGTTTTACAATCTCATCCTAATAAAACCATGTGGACAAAGGCTTAGCAACTTTGAAAAATATTAAAAAAATGCTCATTTCATCAGAGATTCAACAACTTCTAAAATATAAAAAAATATTTTTATTTGAAAGAGATAAAAGGTTCATTCAAATGTTCAAATCGAAGATTCAAGATTCTCACCGAAAGATTCTAAAGATTTACATAATTCTTCGAGATTCGCATCAAGGATTCAAAGATTCACATTTGAAAATCTTAAAGATTCATATCCAATATTCAAAGATTCTTAATTGAAAAGTTCAAATTTAAAATTCAATCTATCAAGGATTTACATCAAATATTCTCACCTTGAAATGAAAAAACAACTCTAAATAGAGGTTATGAAACTTTAAAAAATGGAAAAGCTCTTTAACCAAGGTTTACCAACTCTTTTCGAAACCATTTTCTTCATCCAAAGGTTTCAAACTTTATCTTCGCAAAGTTTTCCTCATACAAGGATCACAATCTCATCAAAAGGCTTTATTTTTGCAAAATATTTCCTCAATCAAAGATTATTACATTACTTATTTTTCCAAAATTTTTCATTAGGAATCAAAATCTTATCTTCAAAAATCATCCTCCACTAAGGATTAAATCTCATCTTTGGAAAAACTTATCATTAAGTAAAAATATTTTACATTCTCACCATTTCAAGATCCAAGATCATAACTTCTTACCAAACAAATTATAAAAGTGTATGAATGCAATAGATGAAAGCAATGTTTATGAATGCAATGCATGAATGCAATGTTAATGAACACAACTCTAATTATGGCAAAAAGGGTTCTCAAGATCATTCCAGTATCTTCATTCTTCAAGTTTACAAATCTTTCTTTTTCAATCTCTTAGGTGATCATAACCACCCCATGATCTCTTTTTAATCTCATTCATAATTTTTTCTCAGCTTTTTAATACTAATAATTTTATAATTAACTCACAAATTCCATCAACTAATCCATTACCATTTTCATCATTTGCTTAAAACTCACTAACTCCATTAATTGATCCATCATTGTTTTCATCACTTAGTCACCCCATTTGCCTTTTCAAATCATCTTTTCAAGCTTCTTCCATCTTTTTTTTATTTTTTTATTTTTTTTGCCCATGTCATCTTGGATTTCTTTTCAAATGAATACAAGAATCTTTTATAAATATTATCATTCATTCATTATCATTTCAATTCATGATAAATATAATATAATTATATATTTTCTTAATTTATTTTGGGATGAAAAAATGAGAGATGACAAGGCGAATTGAGAGAAAAAGTAATCAATACAAGAACAAGTCTGGTAAAAAAAGAAATAGACAAAGGAATAAATTCAAAACATGTCAATAGGATAAGTATTTAAATGTTATAATAATGTCTAATCACAGAATATTCAAAAAAATTTTAACACTACTCTAGAATTCTTTTTCAAAACTCATTCTATTGATTTTCAAATAATTTTGAGCCTATCAAACTTTGCTCAAGTTTCAGTGGATCTTCAGATGTCATTGAACTTTCATATATTTGATTGATCTTTCAATTTTCAACTCAGATGTTTTTTTACCCAAATCACTCATTCAAATTTTTAATTTGAGTCTTTCTCTTCTCTCATTTTTTTAAATTTTTTTTAATTTTTTTCACATTTTTTATTTTTTATTTTTTCACCTTTTTCGTTTTCTTCTTTTTTCATTTTTTTCTTCATCCATTATTGATATCTTCTACACAGCAATCTCTAAAATATGAGAATAGATCACGATTCCATCACTTCATTGTAAGCATGCCTTAGCTTAATATATGATCATTCAATTCAAGCATTTACATTTGATCAGAATGAACTTTTAAGGGTTGTAATGTAGGCTTTGGTAAAGGATCATGAAAAAAACTAATAAAATAGGCTCAAAACATATATTTAAAAAGTTCAAACCAAAAGACCATTTCTTATAATGTCATACAACTTAGCATTTTACCCCATTCCATATCATTTCATTGTTTTTTTTTTTTTTCATTCATCTTACTTTTCACAAAAGAATTCTCATTATTTTATCCCAAGTCATTTGTGGCATCTATTTTTCTTTTTTTTTATTTTTTATCCTTGAGACCTTTTGTGATCTTTTACTTTTTATTTTTTTTTCAAATAGGTCTATTCTCGAAACTTACTCTCCAATGTGAAGGGTGATCATTTGTTAAGGTTTTTTAGGAAAAAAAATCATAACAAGCACAAAATGTGTCGTAATGATTTTGAGATTACTAGATGAAAAAAATTTTAAAATCAAGAAAAAGTAGGGGAGTCGCGACCAATCTTTGTTAGGGTGTGATTGGTCACCCAAAAGTTATCTTTTTAATAAAACCATAAAAGCGGATTTAAAGTTTATCAAAAAGATAAATTTTAGTCTACGAAAAATCAGGTAGGGTTTGAGAGTCAATTACATGTGAGAAATGATTAGAACTGTCACAACACCCATAAATTAATACCAATTAATCATGCGTTATTTTTAGTGTTAGATGAAATGATTTCGATTTGAAATTTAATAATAATTTTTTTAAAAAAAATTAATTTTATTAAAATTTTTTATTTAAGAATATCGAGA